CCGAAGTAGCCACCTATATATAAGGCTAGCGTACTCCCGGGCGTACCTTAGCCTACCGTACGCCCGTTGAGTTTTGCTATTTAGACAATGAATTAACCAAAATTTGGGACATGATACTATATCCTAACCCCTAATGGGTGAACCCCCAGTCCCCAATTCACTAACCCAAAGCATAATATTCATTTAATTTTGAAATGAAAATCAACGGTTCAGATTCGTCGAAATTATTGTTGATTTACATTTTAAGATTAAACGATTCTCATGATTTGGGTTAGAAAATTAGGGATTGGGGTTTACCCATTAGAGGTTAGGGTATAGTATCATACCAAAAACTCCGGTTAATTCATGATCTAAATAGTAAAACTCAACGGACGTACGGTAGCCTAACGTACGCCCGGGCGTATGCTAGCCTAAACCATATATATATATAGGCTAGCGTACGCCCGGACGTACCCTAGCCTACCTTACGCCCGTTGAGTTTTGCTGTTTAGACAATGAATTAACCGGAGTTTAGGGCCATGATATTATACCCTAACCCCTAATGGGTGAACCCCAGTCCGCAATTCACTAATCCAAAGCATAATATTCATTTAATCTTGAAATGAATATCAACGGTTTTGATTCGTCGAAATTATTGTTGATTTTCATTTCAAGATTAAACGAATCTCATGATTTGGGTTAGAAAATTAGGGACTGGGGTTTATCCATTAGTGGTTAGGGTATAGTATCATGCCCAAAACTCCGGTTAATTCATGATATAAATAGCAAAACTCAAACGGGCGTACGGTAGTCTAACGTACGTTCGGGCGTACACTAGCCTAAACTATATACATATATATATATATATATATATATATATATATATATATCCATATATATATGGAGACGACTCGTATGCTCCAAATGATCTGGCCGGTACTTTGATGAGCTACGACCAATCTCAAGGGTCAGTTGTTGTTTTTTAATTGTATTTCGAGTTTGAGTTTAGAGAATCAAGGCCTAGGGTTTATCTAATAGAGGTTAAGGTATAGTATCATGTCCCAAAATTAGTTTAATTCATGATCTATATAGATATATATCTTACTAGGAGTACTTGGAACACACTATGCTCAGGGAGAATACGAGTCTAACTCATATATATACTCAAGAATCAAGAACCACTAGGGTTCGCCAACCTAAAAAATAACGAACTATCCACGCATGGGGACAAAATCTAGGAGATACATATTTGAAAAGAAAAAATACCTAGCTTCTGTGAAACGGTGGCCTAACAAGGGTAATGGCCCCTAAGACTAACTCCAACCCCAAAAGCTATATTTAGCCTCCCAAGCTCTCAAATGTGCATATTTGCCTCCCCAAAACACCTTTTTGCTCCAACCCTAAAAGCTTCCAAATTTAGCTTCCCACATCTTTTTTTGATTTAATTTCCATAATCCATACTTATTTACAATATCATTCTTGTAATTCACTTTAATTTTTTTATAGTTTGTTATTACTTGTGAAAACAAAATTTTCGATGTAATTTTTTTTTAATTCCGAGATAATTTTTTTTTTTTGCAAAATTAGTCATTTTTTGTAGCCGTTACTTTATGACCGTTTTTTTGGACCAATCCAAATATGACCGTTTTTTTTAGCCGTTACTTTATGACCGTTTTTTTGTCGTTTTGTGCATCATATTTGTTTATAAATCACAATTCTTCATTTTTCATCAACTCACTGAAACTTCTTCCCATTTCTAAAACAAACACATTCATCATGAGTATGTCAGATAGCTCATCGTCGGGAGGAGAAGAAGAAATCGAAGAGTACGAGAGGTTTCACCACCTACGGTTGAGTTTAATCGGCCGGAGGCTGGCTGACGGTTCATCAAGTCGACGTCAAACTACAAGTCGACGTCACATTGATCGTGAAAGGGTCGAATGTAATCGTCGTCTTATGAGGGATTACTTCGATCCAAATCCAGTATACAATGCTCGCATATTTAGAAGGCGCTATCGGATGCAACCAAGATTATTCCATCGCATTATGGGCGACATTGTGAGGTTTGACCCCTCATTTGCTCTACGGCGTGATAGCTTGGGTCAATTATCATTATCTCCAGAGCAGAAGCTTACTGGTGCGATGCGCATGCTAGCATATGGTTCTCCAGCTGATCAACTTGACGAGTATGTTCGTATGGGTGAGAGCACTTTGATGGAGGTCTTCAGAAAGTTCTGCAACAACATTATCAACATGTATGGGGCCACATATCTTCGCGCACCTACTCCTGCCGATTTAAGGATCTTACTCAGTAAAGCCTCAAGACGTGGCTTTCCTGGAATGATTGGATCAATTGACTGTATGCATTGGGAATGGAGGAATTGTCCAAGTGGCTGGGCAGGACAATACACCGGCCATATGCATAGGCCAACAATCATTCTAGAGGCGGTGGCCTCCTACAACACATGGATATGGCATGCTTTCTTTGGATCTCCTGGATCGAACAACGATATAAATGTTCTGGGGATGTCGCCAGTGTTTGATCGTATTGTCAATGGAAGCGCTCCACATGTACGATTTGAGGTAAATGGCAATGCTTATGATCAATGCTATTATTTGGCCGACGGTATTTATCCCTCATGGTCGACTTTAGTGAAGACCTTCAGCAATCCAAGGTCAAACAAAGAGGCTTTGTTTGCTCAACATCAAGAAGCACACCGCAAAGACGTAGAGCGGGCATGTTTTTGTTTTGAGAGATGATAAATAGAAGAGAATGAGAGAGATTGATTTGAGAATGAGTGCAGAAAAACCATGAGAAGTTACTCATTATATAGAAAAAAAAATATGACCGTTTTATGGCCGTTAAAATGTGTCCGTTGCAATGTGACCGTTTTATTGTCACTATATTACTTCTTTCAAACTAAAACGCAAACACACCCACACAAACTAAAACGCAAACACACCCACACAAATAAATACAAACAAAAAATGAAAAAAAAAAGCAGCAGCAGGGACCCCGCGTGCAGGCGAGGCCCAACCGCGGGAGGCGCGCCTGGGCCGCACTCGCCTGCACGCGGGGTCCCCTTTCCAGCTGCTATATTTGCCCCCTTTCCCCCTTCCAGCTGCTACCTATCCACCCCAACACCCCAATCTCCAAATTTGGAAGCTAAGTTATTGATGGGTTGGAGATGAAAAAAGGCAAAATATAGCCTTTCTCCAAATTTGCAAGCAAGGGTTGGAGTTAGTCTAAGGTGTCATTCTGGCTGCCATTTTGCCCTCAACCTTCTAATTACTTACGGTTTGTGGTTAGTTGCTCTAGAGGCAAAGTAACCCCTATAAAAGACTTGTCTTCAAATGCTTGTCGAGGGGTCTATTCATAAGGTTTTCTGAGCAATCTTTTAGGTACGAAATATAGTGTATGAGATGCGACTATATCAAATCTCTCACCATACAATTTAATGAACATGATTATGCAGAAAATAACATTCTTGAACACCACTTGTATGACCGACATTATCAATTTATGATCTCTAAACAAAATGACGTTGTTTTAGTGAGTTTCATTAATAAAAAATTAATAAATAATTTATTATATTATTTTAAAAATTAAATGTTGATGTTATTTGTTGGATTCAAGTATAAACGTTTAAGCATTGACGTTAAATATAATTTTATTATAAATATCATATTTTATTTAAATATCACTCTCAATTGTAACTAAATTGACTTAAATATGTTTTTATATATGATCAAATTCATTTATTTTTAATAGGTTTTCACATTTCTACATATTTTGATAAATCGGAATGAACTGACACACTCAGATTGTACCACCAATTGAACCATTCTACTTGCTAAATCAACACAACAGTATAAACCGATTTGACAACCTTGCATCCAGTATAAAACTAACAGATTATTTTGAAATACCATAAAACTACTTATTTTTAAAATAACATAAACTAACTAGGGCTGGAAGTTTGGTACTGGTATTTGGAATATACAAAATACCGTATCGAATTTATCACTATTTGGTGTTACCGAATACCGGTTTATTTTTTAGGGATTGGGATTGAGATTCATTTTGGAATGCTATTCGGTATTTGGGACTGAGATCGGAATATACCGAAATACTGAGAAATACTGAAAATTAAAAATTAATGAAATATAGCACACAATCTTTGTTCATTCCTCACTCTTTCACAACTCAGAATCCTCTATCCAACTCAATTTTCACTTTCCAGTTTAAGTCACTCTCGTCTCTCGCCTAATCTCTTGTTATTTTCATAACATCAATAGGCAAACACTAGTATTATTCGTATCTCAGCCTCCAATTCGTCAAATTAAAGATTGCCAATGACAAGAATTTGAGATGTCACCTCTTCTCCATTCTCCTTATCCATATCCTAGCTCTAGGTAAACTCAAGACTCTTCGCTTAGTCTATTTGCTCTAAATTAAACAATCACATCTAATTCATATATATTTAATTATTAATTATAAAGGTAATTAATTTCGTATTCGATAATACCGATTGGGATACCGAAGTACCGATTGGGATTCCGAAATATTTAGAGATTGTGATACCAAAATTATTTAGTGATTGGAATTTGAATTAATTTTAAAGTAAAATTCGGTATTCGAGATTTCGATATTTGATATTGTGACATAGATACCGTACCAATTTTCACCTTTAAAACTAACACACATTCAGGCGTACTTTTCATTTTTCTTCTCTATCAATGCCAAATATAAAATAAAAACACATTGGAAGAGAAACACAACACAAGGCGAAAGCAACCTACCCCCAATTATTGGTGTATAACACCATAAATCTGATTTCGTTTTGTCCGGAACAGCACCCGACCCCTAAGATCTTTCTATTTTCTGTAATTTTTTTTGGGTCTATTTTAGTCGTCCGTCAGACAATTTAGCGGATTTATGTCGTTGATCAGAGGGTTAGTTTAGTTAGTGAACTCCCTTAAATTGAAATGGAAGACAGCCAAAAGAAGAAAGGAAGGTGCAGAATTCCAGTGTGAGAAAAAGAATTGCCTCTCCTCTCTCAATCTCTCACTGTCTGCCTCTCTCTTTCAGTAAAGTAGTGTAGTACTACCACTTGCTACTGCCTCTCTCTCTAACCTTCTCAAAATGGCAGCTACAGCCTCCCGTCCCTGAAATTTGGGACAGCTAAAAACCTCTCATTTTCATCTACTTGGCTCTGCTTCAAACCTCATCATACCACCAGTCTCTCAAGGGTAAAGTATCCTTCTTTTCTGCTCTCTCTCTCTCTCGCCTCACACATAGCATTGCGGAAACTTTTCTAGCTTTCTTTTTCCAGCGACTAAGATAGGTTTCTCCTTTTGCATCTTGCCCACTGTTTCATGTCCTTTCTGGTTCTTTTTATCTTCATTGGTTCCTGCAAGTATTTCATGAGCTTTGCCAATTTGCCTTGGTTCATTGACCATATTTTCCCCCTTGATCTATTCTTTCCTTTTCTTGTCTTCTTCAGACAACGGCTAGAGTTTCAGCAAAATCTCACTCACATGTGGGTTCTGATGATTTTCCTGTCTCGAGGATCTTATAAGTTGAACTGAGGGAAAAAAGGAGAGTTCGGGGTTTGGTGGGTTCCTCGTTTTCTACTATGAGCAACAGAGAGAGTCTCTAGCCAAGATTCTTTAACAGTGGTTTTACCTGCTCTTTGTTGGATCACGAGGCAGAATTTGGGCCGTTATCTAACCTCTTTGGTTGGTAAAGGGAATGATACTTTCATTGCTTGATACTGAATTGGTTTCTTTCCTTTTTGTATTTGTGCTGAGAATCTGTTGAAAACTGTAAAAAAAATCTGCATTTTGTACTGTGGGATGGAGTCTTGTAGCTATGCCTCTGGGGCTAAAGGAACTTTTGTCTCCAGTATAGTTTCTTCATCTTCAGATACTTTACCAAGTACCAAAAGTGCTGCCATGTGGAATTGGGATTTGAGACGAGCTGCTCCATCTGGGTTTGGGAGTAGCATCTTGGTTTCAACTCCAAATCCAATCCTTGAGAGTCAAAATTTGGAGGAATTAGGTTACCATGAACTGATGGCAAAACCATTACCTTATGAACATGATGACGATGACAACGACAACGATGATGATTCAGTTAGGTATCACTTGAATCATACCAATGGTGTTGAAAGTGACAGGTACATGAATCCATTTGTGGTAGTCAACCCATATGCACTCTCATTAGAAGATGAGTCAAGTTCAAGGCTTTCTGGCTCTGTTGTGGACTCCAATAGTAGGGATTCTTCATTCATTGATTTGAAGCTTGGGAGGGTTGGGGATTGCCAGAATTCCCGAAAAGCACCCATTGTTTCCCCATCTGAGTCGAACACTCCACCCAAAAGAGCACGATTCGGAATCAACTCCAATACAGCTTACTGTCAAGTGTATGGCTGTAACAAAGATCTGAGCTCCTCGAAAGACTATCACAAGAGACATAAAGTCTGTGAAGTTCACTCCAAGACGGCCAAAGTCATCGTTAATGGAATTGAACAGAGGTTTTGTCAACAATGCAGCAGGTAACTACATCATGGATTTCCTTAACTAAGTTGTGAGCTACTGTCCTTATCAAGGTGAAGTGGACACAATATGGGTTTCTTATAATTACTTCTTCACTACATATTTTTGTTTCTTTCACGCAAAACCTCATTCCTGAATGCTGAAGTTGGTTTAACCTTGTATTGCCGGTTTATCACACAAAACAGATTGTTAGCTGAACTACCCACCTATTCAAACCCTAAAACCCTGTCAGAAAGTCTTTCCTTGGCTTTTCTTTTTGGTTAATTTCTCTGTTTTATCACCAACAAAGATTTGGATTGCTGTGTAGTAGGTCCGTCATTTGTGCTTGTGAAGGAGTTCTCTCTTCTTCTGGTTTAATACGTACTTGCTTTTGGACAAATCAGGTTTCACTTGCTGGCTGAATTTGATGATGGTAAGCGCAGCTGCCGCAAACGCCTTGCGGGTCACAATGAACGCCGGAGAAAGCCTCAAGTTGGTATTCATTCTGGAAGGACCGCCAGACTAATTCAATCCTACAATGGTAAGATGCTTACTTGTCTTGGTATATAAGGTAATTAGATGAACTTGTTTGGTAAATTGCATTACTATGATACCATCCTATGTAGTGTTAATAGACGGAGTTTGTTAAATAGAGGTAACAGCAACTCGCCACTCAGTGAAATCTGGTCAAATCTCTCGTTTCTTGACGAAACATAATGTTTTTCTTTTGTAGTTTGTTGTCATTAGATTCCTGAGAGTCATTGGAACTATTCTCTCGTTTCGGCGATTATGACATGATAAAAAAAATATTTACACTGTTTACTCAGCAGCTGCAGGGTTTGGGAGTGGCAGACTCCAGGAGACTGGATTGACATCTTTTATCTGCCAAGATATTCTCCCCAGAAGCCTAGTGTATCCTCAGAAATCTGAATCGAATCACTGGTCAAGAAGCGTGAAACTCGAAGAGGAGAGTGATAGTAATACGAGTGCTCTATCAGCCATTATGCCCATAACGAGCAGCCATTTGCACTCGAAATTCTCCTCTCCCCATAGCTTTGAGAAAATATTTCCTCCAATCCATAATAGTGTAGTGACTACTGCAGCTGCTGGAAGCATCTTCAGTGATCACAGCAACCGGTATCCACATGATGTCGGAGGTTCTTCTAACTCTGGTTCATCATCATGCTCTCTGCCTCAAGATGTCTCCTTTGGTAAAAATGATGACTTCATCAACTTTGATCCAGCATCAACCATTCAAGAGTTATCGGGCGTCAAAATTGTAGACTCTGGTTGTGCTCTCTCTCTTCTGTCATCTCAATCTCAGAGTTCGTCAGGAATCCCCCCCATGGCGCATCATCATCGATCATTGCTCAACCCAAACAACAGCAGTAGCAGCAGCAGCAGCAGCAGCCGTTATGATATGCAACACCAGGTTTCTTCTTCTGCAAGGCTCATAAGATTTGGCTCGCACGTTTCTGCAGGTGCATCATCAGCTTCTGCGGATGTGGGTCACTTGAATCCAATGTTCCTATGTGACTTGGATGGTGACACAGATGGGATTAACCAAGAGGGTCACATTTTATGAATTCGAAGGACCAGCGCCTTTCGTGCGAAGATGGAGGCCACACGATTGACTTGCTGCAACTGTCTTCACAGCTCCACCGAGTGGAACGCGAGAAGCAGTTGAAACAAGAAGCTGATGCCTTCTGCTGTCCCCGCATCATCTAAACTGCCCGATAAAAAAAACCGAGGTATTTCCTTTACTCACCTCGCCTATAGAATTGTAGTGTCAAAATTTTGTGTGAAGCAAGTCAGTTATGGTTCCACAACTTGCAAGTTGTATTCAAAATCTTGTGGTTAAGATTTGAAGTTGCAGAGAGGATGTCTGTTGTGCAAGCCATTAACAATGGGGCACCGTCGTTGTTCAACAATGAACATCTGCTGCTGTACTTTTTTGCAGGCGACTCATCGGTGGGAGTTTTGACGGGGTACCCACCCTTTTCACAGGAAGCACTTGGCGTATTGCTCAGTTGGTTTACCCCCATCTTGTTTTTTTGTCTTCCTTGTGATACCATTTGGGTAATGAGACCGAATTTACCTGAATCATAATGGATTTATGTGCAAGTAACAATATGAAACATGAACTTCCACACGAAAAAAAGAACTTCCTTTACTGTTCGATTTACCTCTTACGTATCTACCGCCCTCATTTACAGGCTAGATTCGACCATTTGTTTTCCTCCTGAATTCCAATTCCATCAAACCCTTTTTCACCCTTAGCACAAGTGCACTACGACAGTCAGTGCCGGTCACGTCCCACTGAAAAGACGTATGGGGGGGCACCGTCGGATTCGACAAAGATATTAGCTGGGTTTTTCTATTTTTCGTTAATGGCGGATTCTAGCAGGGCAGTTGAGGACAACCACAACCAACCAAAGGTTGCCACAATTAATGGCGATTTAAACTATGAGCCATACAACCAGACCATCTTCCTCGCTGTCGGCAGAAGCGACTGTTGTAAAAAGCCTAACCTGGTGTCCGTCCGCTTCTCCGAGGTGTCAAATGAATTAGATTCATATATATATTGGTGAATTGTACTCATTAATCTATGGATCAAATTGATTAGTGGATTTAAGGATTAGTGGATTGATCCATATATCCAAATGATATTCAAGCTTTTGATCATTATGTAAATTTTTAAAAATTTAAGTACTAAAATGTCATAATGAAAATTTTTAGGTACCAAAACATAATTTTTCAATGATATTTTTCGTATAAAAATATAAGTACCAAAATGTAAAACATAAAAAGTAAAGGTACCAAATCATAATTTATCATTTGGATCCGTGGATCAATTCATAAATTCATCAATCAAATTGGATTTGGATCAAATGGACGGGATCAAATGAATTAAATTAGATCGATAATTTAGTGGATAGATTGGATTGGATTCATGGATATGAATCCTAATTAGCACCTCTAGCTGGACGACAGCCTCACCTAGGGGTGCCCATTCGGTCGGTTTGGTTCTCGAACAAAATCAATTCTTACCTGGCTATTCCAAGCCAAATATGACCGAACTAAATTTTGGTTTCGTTTGTACCGAACCGAAAAAAACGTTGTTTAAGAACGATTTTGATCGTATTGCTGAACCATAAACACACCGCAAGCATTCGATCAACATTATTCGTTCCCTCTATTATCTCATCCCAAAATTAGAGGTTAAATCCCCCAAACCCTAGATTTAGGTTTTGAATGTGAATGTAATTATGTTAGGGTTGGTGAATGGATATGTTTGTTTTAGTGAATTTATGCTTCATTAATGCTTAATTATATATGGGTAAGTCGTCCAACTCTTCCTTACTAGCCTACAGTGCTAGAGAAGTCGCATGCATTCTTATTGAAGCACGTCTCTAGTATGCATGATAGATTGAACCTATTGAGAGGAACTATGAGAGCAACACTAGCATGTAAACTTAGACTGAGGTGACATTGGGTCTTCGTGGGCCGTGTTAGGAGGAGGGAGAGTAGTTATTGAAATCCCCAAATTATAGAGTTTTGAATCCTATCCTACAAACGCGACATAGTTAGCCATTTGCATGATAAACATAGTCTAGGGCAAGGGTGGCACCCCGAAATACCTTGCTTTTATCTTAGCTTTTTTCACCAGTAGCTTCCAATCAACCTTCTACCCAAAAACCTAAACCGGTTGACTAGATAACAACACAGTGAGAAGTAACCAAGGGTATCGAAACCCGTGGAATACGACTTTGGTAACCACTATACTAGCAATGTCATTCTGAGTTATACCTTGGCTCAAAATGGGGTAGTTAGGAAAGTCATGCAATCAATTGACGACCCACACGGGGTGGTAGAAAAATCGTCACCAACCATCCTTATAATTATGGCCGAAAATAATAGGTCTCAATGAGCCGCAAACATAGGGCGAAAATCATGGATGTTCGAAAGCATCCAAGTTCCCTTTTCTACCATAGTTGTAATATTGACTTCGGTTCAAATGAAAATAATTTCAAGGGCTCTGGAAGGAGCACAATAGAAAGATGGACTTGCATACAATAACTCGACAACACTTAGTGATATTTAAGCTTCCATATAATTTGGTGGGGTATTATGAGCTGAGTCATTGTTTTTGGGTCTCTTATTCTTGTTTGCTTCTTTAATCAAATTTGACGGTAGAACGATGGTGGTCTTCGTAAAGTTGTAAGACTATGTATGGGGGCTGACACCTGCCTAGTGCCGGAAGGTCAAGAAAGTTGGTAACCTGATGACAGAGGAGTTTGTTGGATTGAATTGATTTTGGATTTATATTTGTATTAAATTATTTTTATTCCATAATAACAACTTAATAAAAGAATACATACATATGTTGGGGAAAAATGTTAAAAAAATGCACAATTGAAGAGATCTTATGTTGGTTAGATTACAAATCAATTATTTTGATATAACGTTATTGAATTACTTGCATAACGATTATCCAATTAACCTTCAAAATAATCGAAAACCTACTACACTGTTAGTTATATTATAAACAATATGGTTAACAATAAAAATAATTATTAACGGTTAACCAATTAGTGACTAAACAATTACCTTTATAACCCAACCATAACCGACTAACAATGACTAACAACACTAGGAAAATGGCGATGGGGCCAATATGTGTGACCCATGGAGCGAAAAACCTGTTTAAAGAGATCAGAATCCATTGGTAGCGAAAAGTGTTTTATTGTTCTGAACTGGTAGTAAGTAGTACGTCAGACAGCCAGTAAGTGCAAAAAGAACAGGCAAAACTCAGCCTCCTTCTGAAAGAGAACTCCAAAACCCAAAAGCTAAGAACCTGAAAGGCTCTTCAAACAATGATAATACCTCAAGACATAACAATTCCGGTCTACGCAAGTCTCTCTCGCCCACTGTCTGCATTACAAAAGCTCAAACGCTCTACTTTGAGGAACCATTAGACAAGTCGGCAGGTGATGGGTTCAATTCATCCCAGGCCTCAATCCAGGTCACCATGGCATCAGCCAGCTTCACAAAGTAGTCGTCAACTTTGCTCAGCTTGGCTCTTACTTGCTTCGACAGCTCAATGTAGCACTTCTGCACCGTGTTGCAGTCCTTGGGGAGGGCCACGGACTGGAAAAATGGGATCAGCTCTTCTTGCCAGTAGATCCCTTTGTATTCCTTTTTCAGGTTCACAAATGGGTTGCTTGCTTTGCTGTGGTAGATGTAAGGCAATCCGGTCTTCACCCCCAAACCAAGATGGTCACAGATAACCTGCCGCAAATTGTAGTAATTAAAGATCAACATTTCCCCTCAGTTTTGACACATAGAGAGGAGTCGAGAGTGAAGTTTCCAAACCTTGGTACACCAGCCTGCCCACATATCGTCGTAACGCCCGATCGGCTGGCCATCACCCATCAGACCAAAGTACATTGCAGGGCCAATCAACTCACGGTTGAATGCAAGGTTCATCCCACACATTGGGAACAGGGTACCCTTTGGAATAGTCATTACAGCATCCACATACCTAGTGTTCCTCTCGAGAGGCTTGACGAGCTGTGTTGGGGCGTCATAATCAGGGATGTTGAGCCACAGGCCGTGGGATACCGCCGTGGGGACTCCCTCCCGGAGGCTAAACGGATAGCCTCGGACGAAGTCAGCACCACCGCGGTATGGGTCGTAAAGGGTGTTGAAGAAGAATGGAGTTGATGGGCATAGCAGGTTCTTGATGTGCTGTTCCAGCGCATTGATCTTCTTCCCGGATGGTTCTGTGGCAACCTACATTAGGGATGATAACATTACATTACAACAGGAGAGTCAGCACCAAGATTTCAGCTCGGCCAAATAATCAAAAACCAAATTAGCAAATCACTACATTCATTCCAAACAATTGTGGTACCCAATCGCACAAACATCTGCATCATCAGAACCTGGAATGAGCTCAAGATCTGAATTGGATTTTGAATTGCTCCCAAAGAGGGAGAAACCGAAATTGGATCTGACCGTTCCCGTTGACTGTTAGACTGTGGCTCCATCAAGGCCAAAAAGGTAACTGCAGGCCTCTCTCCCGTATCAAATAAATAAAAAATCACTTTCTACTTTCTAGGCTACCGATCAGATCGAAAAATCTGCTCAGATCTAAACAAAACCGTAACAGATGGGGATCGGAATTCCGAAATTCCAACGAAGGAATTCAGATGAGCAGAATGGGCAAGCAAAAACCAGAAGAGACTTACGAAGCAGTCGTCGTCAATGGTGAAGACGTACTTCTTCTTGGAGACCAAGTAGCCGAAGCAGCGGCAGGCAGAGTCCTTGAAGGAAATGCAGGAAGCCTTGGGCCCGAGGATCCGGTTGATGTCGTTGCGATTGTAGAGCTCGTAATCGAAGCCTTCTGGGACCTTGATGGTCTTCGCCGGGTCGCCATCTTGGACGATGATGAGATGGTACTGCTGGAAGAATGGCCTCCACATCTCCAGGAAATCCAAGTTTCGGATTGTCGGAATGACGATGTCCAGCTCGTCTTTCAGCAGAGGAGTCGGAGTGACGGCTTCCGCCATTGTTAAACGAGCAACAAGGAAAACAGAGGAGTTGTTGGGGGAGAAAATTCGAAGAATGGGGAAATGTGGGGAGGGAGCGGGCGATTATTTGTAGAGAGGAAAGGGAAGGAGTACATGGAGATAGAGAGCCCGTCCAACAAAGGAAGCTGCCAGGCCAGAAGAAGTAGATCAAAGGACGGAGAACGCAAGATTCTGCCATGTTCTTCCGATTCAGCCGCGTTTGACACTTGTTCCTTCGAGTGAAAAGACCTCTAATATTCACTCAAGTTGAATTAAGAGAGATATTAGTTCAGTCATTTTAGGGTGAGTAATTATAATCCAATTAGAATTATTAAAACTCCTTTCTTATTTATGAATTCTTTTTAATTTTTAACAGTCAATCTTTTTTCGTTTTAAGTTAGAATTTAAAATTTTTTGAACAAATAAATAAAATTAATTGTGCTTTTCAAAATGTTGTACACTTTGATATATTTTTTAAGCAAAAAAATTGAGACATTTTTTACCAGTCATACCATGATGGTATTGATTGGTATTAAATAAGACTATAAGAGTATAACATATGGTATGAAAGCTTACCATGGTGGTATGAACATATCAGACT